GACGCAGAAGGAGGTGGGAAAAGAATAAAGGAGCCACAAAGAACACAAAGAAAAAGGGAAATAAATAATAAAGAAGAGAAGTCAACGTGCATATAAATAAATAAATAAATAAATATTGGGTTTTATGTATCTATGTTTGGTAGTTTACCCATTATTGTAAGTACGCTTGATTTATTTTCATTATCTTCATTGCGGATTTAGCCGTTTTCATTGCCTGTATTATATTTGTACGTATGTATGTGTATGTGTATGTGTGTTAATCTGTCCTGTCCTTTTTATTATTATTATTATTATTTATCTGCGATGCTTGATGTCCAGTTGTTCTTCCCCCACGTCCCTCGCAATTTCTCTCTTTCCCTCCTTCTTCATTGGTTTTACTTCTCGCTTTAGTCCTTTACTCCCTTATATATACATACACATACAGATATAGATATACTTAATCTTCCTCTTGCTCGTTCTTTCTTTGTGTGTGTGTGTGTGTGCAGGGTGTAACGGTACGGGAGAAAAGGGGCGGAGGCTCAACTGCAGTAATAAATAAATAAGGGACAAAATGCCGCTGTTTCCTTCCTCTGCAATTGGACGTGCCCTCATGCTTCTCAGTGCCACCCTTTTTGGCACCGCGGCGGGCGTAGCAAAGGAGCGTGCCAGTGGCAAGCGGCTACAGCACGAGCAGGAGTTTGTCCCCATCCGTGATGCGGAGCAGATGGATGCCGCAAGGATGGTGCTCTCGCCATTCATGCAACAAACAGTAAGTAAGGGGCTTCCCTCGGACGAGCGGTTGCGATTTTTCGATGGCTTTGTGGCGAGCCTCAACTACGAACGGCGGATTCCGAATTGGGTCTTGGAGTACTTTCCGAGCCCCGCTGTGGCGGAGGCGACGGCTGCGTTGCGAGGAGAAGAAAAAGAGGAAGCAGGAGAGAATGAAGAGGAAGGCCCCAACGGGGCACGAAGGGGAGGAATAAAGTTTTTTGCAGACACAACCGTTCCAGAGGCGTTTCGTGTGACACCCGATGACTACACTGGAGGGAGAGAACAACAGCGTCTGCCGCATACGCGAGGACTAAGTCGTGGCCACCTCGCCGCGGCGCAGTTCCACAAGCACTCCACCAAGGAGATGACGGAGACGTTTAATATGAATGCAAACGTTGTACCGCAGGATATGACGATGAATGCCTTGGACTGGTTACGCCTAGAGAATCTAATGAAAAAGTTGCTTTTGAGGTATGAGGGTGGGATTTGGGTGGTGACCGGCCCGGTGTTCTCTCCGCGTTACGTGTATGGCGATCCGCGCTCCTGGGGCTGGACGGAGTCGCGCTCAACCTCCGCCGTGACGCCAGCAACCACCGTGAGCGGTGTCAATGGGGACATGAAAAAGGCGCGCAAAGTGGTTTGCTATGAACTCGTGGGAAAGCACGACGTGGCAGTGCCAACGCATCTGTTTAAAGTGGTGCTTGGGGAGCGGGGCGATGGAAGCCACGAGGTCGCTGCATTTTTGATACCAAACGAGCCCATCGTGAGCGAGCGGCCGCTTGTGGCGTACCAAGTGCCCGTGACCGAGCTGGAGAAGAGGACGGGACTGCAGTTCTTCCAAAAAGTGGTCCCGGCAAACGATACGGCTTCTACATCGTGGAGAGGCCGCAAGGCGCAGAGACAGGGCTTGGACGCACTGCCAAACATTTGCAGACGCATGTCGTGCGAAGCGCGCACGGTGGCACTGTTTCAAACGCAAAGGAGCATCGCACAACTGCGGGCGGCACAGTCGCTGCCGGAATTGCAGCAGGTCTTTACCCGACTGCTGGAGGAGCGTCGGCAACAGCGCCCCGGTGAAAAACGCAACCATCTGGATACTGCCGTGATGAGGGAGTACGAGGAACGCAGAAAGGAACTGGCGGAGGAAGCTCTCAGTGAGGGGAAATAAGGGACAACCCGTGGGAGTATGGTTTGTTTGTTTGTTTGTTTGTTTGTTTGTTTTGTCTCTGTGTATGTGTGTTCCATTTACCGTGCCTATCCCGCTCAAACTCAATACATGCAACCGTCAGTCCACACGGCGCTCTTGACATTTGTCGATGAATAAATGAGTGGCATACAGCAAAAATAATAATAATAATTGTCGTCTCTCTCTCTCTCTTTTGCTTTTTTCTTTCTTAACGCACCGTGCAGCCAAAGTTGATTTTTACCGGGAGTGACAAGGACGAGGGAATGGAAAGGGGAAGAGGGGATGTTGACAGATTTTGGGTGAAGGCGATATTTACATACGTGCCATTGCACTTTAGAATGTGTAATTTTGTTCGGTTTCACTGAAAACCGACATTCTTTTGTTTTTGATTGGCGTTGCCTTTTTTGTTGCTGTTTATTTTTTGTTTTTGTTTTTGTTTGTGTGCGAGATCCAAACGACAGGGGCGGGGGGAGAAGTCCTGCCCTTTTTTATTGTGCCCTCATTGCGATTGTTCCGTAGGGAGAATTCCTGTAATGCATTTAGACCGCCACGTCATTTTTGGGAAAGTTTAAAAAAAAAAAAAAAAAGTGTTTAACGCGGCGAGAAACGATGCACTTTGCCGTTGGGGTGCATCGCCCGACCCTTCCAGGGCGGTGGCAATGAATTGGGAAACATGAAACGGACCAAAGTGGAAATCTGCCGTATGTGCCTTTCAAGAGCGTCCTGCGTGGAGATGAACGACGAAGTGATGTGTTTTTTTGTTGTTGTTGTTTTTTTGGAACTTTTTTTCCTTTGGGGTGTGAACTTGTGCTTCACGTGCGGGGAAGGGAAAGTTGGGTCACGACGGTGGATGCATTTTTTATGATGTGTTGGCAACAATGACATCTTGTGCCATGTAAGTGCGAATGATCCTTTTTTTTTTTTTTTTTGATGGAACGCGAAGCCACCGTTGGTTTTGAATTCAGGGAGGACGGAAGATTTGGGGCTTCTCTTGCGGGAATCAATTTTAGGCTACCGTTATTAACTTTTTTTTTTCTTGTTTGTTTGTTGTATCGCACGGTGAAGGCCTTGTGGTAGGCAAGCTGAGATGAATCGCGTTGCTGTGACTCTGCATGTATGCGTTGAGGGTGTCGTTTCCAAATATTCTTTTGTTTCTGTTGACTGCGTGATCTTTTTTTTTATCCGTTGTTTTTTGTAGTTTTTTCTTTGTTTGTGATCTGAGCATAGTTCTTGCCTTCCGTGTGTGTGGGTGCGTTGATTACTTGTGGGTCTTATGCGATTTTCTGCCCCAGTCACTTTAGGCGCCGCCATCGGCGTCTGCATGCTCTCTGCGATGGGTGTGTTTGCGGCAACGAGAAGGGAGGCGTGCTTGGCACGGATGTATCCGCAGAGTGCCGGTTTCTACGGTGCACTGGGCGCTGCTGTCGCTCTTGTGTTTGCGAATCTCGGTTCTGCGTATGGCGCCGCTAAGGCTGGTGTGGGCGTGGCACACCTGGGGCTCTCCGCACCGGAAAAGATCATGCGTGGCATCGTCCCTGTTGTTATGGCAGGCATTCTCGGCATTTACGGTCTCATTGTGGCTGTGATCATCAACAACAACATCAAAACCGAGCCGCACTCGTACTCGATCTTTTCGGGGAATTTGCATTTGGGAGCCGGGCTGGCGGCGGGTTTGGCGGCGTTGGCGGCGGGCCTCTCGATCGGCGTCGTTGGTGACACCGCCGTGCGGGCGTACGGTAAGCAGGATCAGGTATTCGTAGCGATGGTGCTGATGTTGATTTTCTCTGAGGCCCTTGGCCTGTACGGCCTTATCATTGCGCTCCTGATGAACAATCAGGCCAACCGGTACGGCGCGCTTTGTGAGGTGGAGTGATGGCATGAACGGCGTGCCGTTGCTTGGCGCAGAGAAATGATGTGGCACCTCCATTTCACTTGTGGGTTGGCGTGTGTCTATGCCGCCGCCCCCTGGCGTGGTCATTGCTTCACGCAGCGAAATACAGCTGAATTTGGGAAGGGGAGTGAGGGATTGTGTGAAAGGGAAGATAGGAAGAGTTTGGTGAGGAGGTGTCTGTGCAGATTTCCGGGAAAAAATCCAACTGGCTTACTTCCCTCTTATCCGCTTGTTTTGTTGTTGTTGTTTTTGTTGTTTCCTTTAATGATTTGTTTTCTTTTCTTTTTTTGCCGACGACACTTCTTTGAGGCACCGACTCTCACAGAAGAGAAAATTATTGTGAGCCAAATGTCAACAACTTGTGGCTTTAAGGGCTGCTTGAACCATACGTACTTGGTGATGCCAGTATGTACCCACTGCGGGAAGTGCATGTGCACGGCTGCGGCGACGCCGCGAAGAATGCATCGCAGCGCCAGGCAACAGCGGATGCGGCAGAGATGCGGCGGCGGCGCAAGCACCTTGGCCTCGATGACGTCAAGGCGCGGTTGGATCGCCGCCGGGAAGAACTCGCGACACAACGAAAGAAAAAGTCATCGAAGGGGAAACAATGACTGAGAGCGAAGTCAAGGTGTATTTCACGGCAATTCAGTTTGGACTGAGGGTGAGTACGCAATTGTGTCTTTTTTTTTTTTTTTGGAAGTGAAGTGGAGATGATGACGGACTCGATTGCTGGAGGATTGGGGGGCGATATTTTGCCTGGCTTATTCCCGTGTGTTGCCTATGATGTCATATGCTTCCTTTCCTGCCTGCGGCACAGTCCTAACTTCCCTCTCTTTCTCTTTCATTCATCCCTCTCTTGCTTGACTGGGCGTTTTGCTTTGTTTTTTCTTTTTGTAGCCACTATTAGCATCATGGAGTTTGTTCCAACCTTTCAGACTGCCGGCAAGGACCACGAAGTGTTTGTCAATCATGGCGGCGCGTACTGGCTCAACCCAGTACCGCACGGCACGTTCCGCTCACGCAGTGCATGCACCATAATGAAGGCAACGGAAACCATTGACCCTTTCGGGAACCCCAAACGACCCGATAGGCCCATTGTGTTTGGACTGTCCCGGTACAGCACCGCCGAAGACAGGCTCAACGCCGCAAAACGGAAAACAAACGGTGATGACACCGAGATAGTGGAAGATAATAGGCGTGTCGAAGGGGTGACCAAAGGCGCGGATGCCGCTAGCGCGCTTCCACGAATGCATACGGATAACAGGGACGAAGTTGACTCTCATGACACTTTGCCCTTGCGTGCGCCGCCGTCTACCGACGCACGCAGTGCAGAAGCCACTGCTGTTAACGGTGACAAGGTGTCTTATTCAAGCGAAGCAGTGGTTCGTGAGAAACTTCCACTTGACACCGCCAACCCTGAGCGCCGCATTTTGCATCCAGGCAATCACACGATCCGCATTCCTCCCACAGGTGGAACTGCGTACAATGGCACTGTCGGCGAGTCATGGACGGCACCGAGAGCAGTAGATGGAACCTATCTGCGTCTAGCCCCACTGTATGAGAGCACAACGCACTACCAGCTACGCACTGGCCCCTACTACACAGAGGATGAGGCCCCGGCACACGGCATGACGCTACCGCCCAAAAGCTCTCTCCCTACACGTGAATGGTAGAAGCAGCCGAACGAAATGTAAAGTAAGAATTTGTCTGTCACATAAAGGGCGCTAGAGGACAGCAGAAATTGACAGGCATCCCACATTTACAGCACATAGGATGTGTACTGTAAAGGAAACTGATTTTCTTATAATAACCATTATCAGTGGATTTTCTGCACCTCTATTGCATTGCTTGTAATGCCACTATCATAGCTACCTTGTCGGATCTTCACAGTTTTCATTTGTCTCTTTTCTATCTTATACCTTTCAACCAAAACTTCAAGTCATGCGCCAGCCGCGCCACACCACGCCGCTGCTGCCACTGCTGCTGCCGTGGCTCATGATGGTGGTGTGTTGCACCGGTGTTTGCGTTGCCGCCGATCGTGCCGTGAAGCACCGCTGTGGGTTTGACGCGATGATGAAGAAATACGGCCGGCTGCCGACTGCGGTGGTGCGTGAGGTGCCGCGCCGGGGACAGGGCGCCGTGCAGGCGTACACCGCCGCCAGCGAGGATGGGGACGATGGCTGGGCTCCGATCCGCATCAAGGTGTCCGCGGTGGACATGTTCGACCCGTTGAGGCACTGCAGTGCGGCGGGGGATCTGCGCGTTGACCACGACGGCCGCGCAATAACATGCGAGGCGGACGACGTGCTGACGGAGGAGAAGAGGAACATTGTTTTGAGGCAAATTCTCCCCGCCGCAATTCAACTGCACGCGGAGCGTCTCTCCGTGAGGCCCGTGACGGGTCCCGTCGTTATTCCACAGACCGGTCTGGGCTTGTGCGGTAACTTCACCATCCCTCGCAGGCACCACACGGTGGGTGTGGCTGGCGCCGACATGATTCTCTACGTCAAAATTTTTCCGACCTCTGGTCCAGCCGCGTGGGCGGCTCCGTGCTTCCTGCTGGATGATGGCCGTCCAGTTGCTGCTGCCGTGAACTTTGACCCGAAGCGAGTAGCGGCGACAAATGTATACGTGCGTGTGGCAGCCCACGAGTTGGGGCATGCTCTTGGGTTTGATGTTGATTATTTTATGATGTTACATATGATTTCCGAGGCCCCGAACGTGCGCGGGATGTCCAAGGTGTCGGTGATTTCAACACCGAAGGCGAAGGCAGTGGCGCGTCAGTACCACAACTGCCCCACGCTTGAGGGCATTGAGCTGGAGGACGAGGGTGGTTCTGAAAGTGTACTGTCACATTGGAAGAAACGCAACCTGAGGGACGAGCTGATGACTAGTGATCTGAGGGTTGGGCTGTACTCGGCACTGACGCTTGCAGCGTTCGAGGACATGGGTTTTTATTTGGCAAACTACAGTGCGGCTGAGACGTTGTGGTGGGGCAACAACTCTGGCTGTGGGCTGCTGGAAAAGAAGTGCTTGACCGACGGCATCAGCGAATACCCTGATCTGTTCTGCAACCAGTTCTCGCGTGCCGGATATAAGCTCTGCACGTACAACCGTCTGTCTCTGGGGCGCTGTAAGCTGAAGAGGCACGAGGAAGCCCTCCCAGAGGAGTATCAGTACTTTGCTGATCCCCGAGTTGGCGGTGATGGTCTCTACATGAGCAGATGCCCGTATGTCAAGACATATTCTAATGCTGGGTGCACGAACGGCAATCCTTCCGTAATGCCTGGCAGTGTTGTTGGCCCGAACTCGCGGTGCGTGAAGGGGCAGGATCTTCAATTCGACGACAAATATATTGGCGATGTGTGTGTGGACACTCGATGCGGCGACAGCACAGTGAGCGTGCGGTTTCTTGATGACGACGCGTGGCGCGAGTGCCAGGAGGGTGAAACCGTCACGCCGCCATCGGGTCCCTGGCGTGGGAGCATTGTGTGCCCCCAATACGCCGATGTGTGCACCGCCTTCCCGAACATCAGCAGCTACCCAATACCGGTCGTTGAGCCGCCTCTAGCGGACGACCCGACATCCGCGGAGGGTGCGGAGGGAGACGAGGGTGAGGTTCCGAGGAAGCGGCCGCGGCGACTCTGATTCCGGGGTTCTGCCGCCAATTAATTTATCGGGCAGCGTGGATGGTGGGGCGGGCGGCACTGCGGACGCACCCCAATCGAGCAGCAGCGTAACAGGGTTGTGCTTTGCGATCTTCGCTGCAGCTCCCTCTCTGGGGGCTGGGGCTCTCCTGTATTTTATTATTGTTCATTTTTTGCCGTGGGGGAATGGCCGGCCCTGCGAGTGGGCGCCAAAACTGCCCAGCCGTGTCCTCTTTCCTCCGCTTATTGGTGTGGAGGTCGCACACGGAGTGAGTTGCGGAGGCTCGCCCGACGTTATCCTCCTCGCCCCACGCAGGAGGCAACTGAAAGACGCACTCGGCACCTTCTTTTCGTCAGTCATGAATGATCGTGGGAGTGGGGAGTCACGCTGGACTCGCCGTGGGCCACGGAATGCATCCGTCGCGGCCATGGCGACAGCATGACGAGGGTGCGAGGTGTTTACATGTATATTTCTTATCTTGTCCTGGAGGAAATTGGGTCACAGACTATTTTTACTTTTCTCTCCTGTGCCCTCTCTTCACTCCGTGTGCGTGCCACTGCGTAGATGGGGTGCTGGTGTTTTTGAGTGTCTGTGAGAAGAATGTTATCGAGAGGGCTGGCTGCCCAATTTAATGTATGTCCTGGTAAAACGACGAAAATATTTCCGTGTGATCCTTTTCCTATCTTATGTTTCTTTGAAAGGCCCCGATGGAAGGAGTCAAGGAACCGATAACGGCAAGACGAATTCTATTTTTATTTTTGTCATCCACCCTCTTTGATTCGGACCTTGCGGCGGGGTCTTGTGGCTGGAGGAGCCCAAAGTGTTCCAACTCGTAAGTAATAAATATCTCCAACCCGAATACACCGCACCGTGGCACGAGAGTGCCTATCCGAACATATAGATGTAGTTGGGACAAACGTTGAGGATGTGGCGAGGTCGCTGCCTCTCCATGACCCTCTTCTTTCCCATCCTATCTTATTTGTGCGTATCAGCTCGGGGTCCGGCCAGCAGCCCCGGCGAACATTTTTTTGTGCTTCGGCTTAATTTGGAGGCTCCGTCTGTTTTGTTGTTTGTGTGTGCGCTGCGGTAATTTGTGGTGCTACCCCTCCTTCTTTCTTGTAGCTGCAGCGTCTCTTTATCCCTTTGTTATCCTCCTCCTTCTGCTTCTTTTTCTGCAGACAAGGCCTGTGCTACCACCACCACTAATACCACTGCTGCCGCCCGCGCCTCCGGAACAGACACATTGTACCAAAGCCATGCGCCAGCCGCGCCACACCACGCCGCTGCTGCCACTGCTGCTGCCGTGGCTCATGATGGTGGTGTGTTGCACCGGTGTTTGCGTTGCCGCCGATCGTGCCGTGAAGCACCGCTGTGGGTTTGACGCGATGATGAAGAAATACGGCCGGCTGCCGACTGCGGTGGTGCGTGAGGTGCCGCGCCGGGGACAGGGCGCCGTGCAGGCGTACACCGCCGCCAGCGAGGATGGGGACGATGGCTGGGCTCCGATCCGCATCAAGGTGTCCGCGGAGGACATGTTCGACCCGTTGAGGCACTGCAGTGCGGCGGGGGATCCGCGCATAGACCAGAATCTACTGGCGTTAATGAACTGCGTTTTGGTGATGGCGTTTCGATCGTGGCGAATAAAACTATCCTGTGGTATAGTGTTTGTCGTTTGGTTTTCAGGCTGTGCGCGGAGCGCGTACTCGCCCATCGCGTTGAGAATCTGTTGAAGATGCCATGGTTCACCGATGTAAGTGGCAACCGCAATTATTTTAATTTCTCCGAAAGCTATCAAACTCAATGAATTTGGTATGCAACACGATTTTTGCGTGGCTGTCGGTGCGAGTTCAGCGATTTGGGCTCTCCCTTGTGCTGTTGGGGAGAACGGTCGTCCATTTGCTTGTGCCCCGCATATTGCCCCTTCCTTTGGTCTACCTTTTGCCTTCCTCTTATTGGGTGCGTATTGGTGAAAAAATTGCTGTGGTGACTTTGTATTTCTTTATTTCCTTTGAAGAATATGGATTTGGGTTTTGAGTTATTTTAAGAGAGTATTGAGGACTGTAATTCGAAGCTCTTTGCTTTGTTTGGTTTTGGCTTCACGGCTGCGCGTGGCTCTTGTGGGTAACGGTTATGTTTTTTTATGGGCACGAGCGCGTGCGTTGATATGTTTTGCGGTGGTTCTGTGGTGGTTGTTTGATGAGAAATGAAAAAAGGAAGTCAATTTGCGTGTATGAATATCATTTGTTAATTCTGCTGCTTGCTGAATATGTCCTTTTCATCTTCCCCTCTTGTTGTGCGTGTGGTTTGGTGGGTGGGTTTGTTTGCTTCTGATACGGCTTGTTTAGAGCGGGTCGCACCTTCGGGAGGAACGATAACGAGTGCTGTGGAAGACACCGAGGCAGGAAGGTAGGCGGGAAAAAGGGAGAGGCATGACGTCCGCAGCGCATGTCCGTGCAAAGGCAACACGTCGAAGCTTCTGGCAACTTGCGGGTGTTAGTACTTTACTCGTGGGGTCTACTGGCGGCGGCCTGTTTCTGTACTACCGTTATGCGCGGTTGCCGGAGCAGTGGCGTGTGGCGCGGCTCTCGAGGATGCAACCACCGGTTCGCCGCACACGGCCGTTCGTCGCCGGAACCAGCAACTGCGGCAATGAAGATATCAATCCGTGTGATGGTTATGGCTTCTCCAATGAGTTGTTATTGACTGGGGAACCGCTATGGGGAATTTCCGCTGTGTATTTCTACGGCCTCGTTTTACTCCGTTCAGTGATGCTCCTGACGCGCATGGTTCCGGTGATTTGGTATGCATTCCTGACGTATGGCCTACATCTGTGCGGGGAGCAAGTTCTTTTTGAGAAGCTGCGGGATGCGTTGACGGCGATGGGGCCAAGTTACATCAAGTTTGGGCAATGGATGGCGACGCGGCCAGACTTTTTTCCTCCAACTCTCTGTGCTGCGCTGGAAAAGCTGTACGATCAAACTTCCGCCCACAGTTGGTCCCACACGGAGAAGGTTTTACGTCGCACTCTGCATGAGGCAACACCGTCCGATGGTCTTATCGAAGACAATGGCATGACGTCATTACCGGATGTGGTCGAGACCACAAAGACGAGTCGCAAGCAGGTGGCAATGAAGCAGCGACACAACGCGCTGTATTATTTACAAGAAATTGAAACCGTGCCCGTCAACAGCGGCAGCATCGCACAGATTCACCGTGGAGTACTGCGTGAGGAAGTTGATGGAATTCCTGCGGGCACGGAAATGGCAATTAAGGTCACGCATCCTCGTATTCGTGAGCACATTGCTGCGGATGTCACGGGGATGCGTTGGTTTGTGAATATTCTCACATTCCTTTGGCCCAGCACCGTCTACTTTGACCTGAAGAGGAGTGTTCAGGAGTTTTCTTCCTTTGTGCAATCCCAGCTTGACCTCCGGCAGGAGTGCGATAATCTGCAGCAGTTCATATTCAACTTCCGTGACTTTCCCGGCGTCATCTTTCCCAGGCCGCTGCCCTCACTCTGCTCGCAGGACGTTCTGATTGAGACGTTTGAAGAAGGTGAGCCGTTGCAGGGGATTCAGAGTGGCGAGAACTACTATGATCTTGCAGAGCGGGGGTGTCATATGTTTCTTAAGATGCTCTTTGAAGATAATTTTGTGCACTCCGACCTTCACCCGGGAAACTTGCTGCTCCGGACAAATCCAGGGGCTCCCGTTAGCAGCGTATCCGCATCCCTTTTATTGCCTTCCTCCGATGCCTACTACCCAGATGGGAAGATGAAACTCCTGCATGAGCTCGTTGTGCTTGACACAGGGCTTGTATCGACGTTGTCAAAGAAGGAACGGAATAACTTCATTGCACTCTTTGCGGCGGTGGCATGTGGAGACGGCAAACTTGCTTCGGACCTCATGATCGATCGTATGCCAAAGCAAAGAAGACCTCAAAGTGGAGTGAAACGTGAAAAGTTTCGTGACGACATGCAGGCGATCTTTGACATTGTTCCGCCGGGAAAATCGGAAGGCTTTAAATTGAGCAAAGTCCGCATAGGCCCCGTGTTGGCTAAAATTATGAACACGGTACGAGAGAATAAAACACCTATTGATGGCAACTTTGCCTCACTTGTACTCACCGTGATAGTGGGGGAGGGACTTGGAAGGAGGCTGGCGCCAGATTTCAATATATTTAGCGAGGCCGCGCCGTATTTGGTGGCACTGCTGGAAGATAGTGAGCTGTACTTTCTTGCCTCAAAACTGCGGGAGACGTACGGCACCCCAGCGTTGCTACGCGACTCTGTACATTTCGTGAGGCCTGAGCGCACGGCAACCTACGCGGAGATGGGCGTTAAAAAGCTGGTCAAGACAATGGGGCATATGTGGCGACAGTTGACAGGAGAGGCCACAGACAGCGATGTGGCTACTGTGGAAAAGTGAGGGGGCGAGGCGGCACGTGCATGTGTGAATTCCTCTAATACCGCAGCTGATGTGTCTTCATGCGTGTAGTCCGTTATAGCCAAAATTCGGTTGGAAATGTCACCCAAGAGGCAGAGAGGGTAAAAGCAGCTATTGCCCATATATATATATATATATATATAGGTTTGTTGTCCTTTTTATTATTTATTTTTTATTTTCTAATTTTGGAAAAAGAGGGCAGTTCTTCTTCTTGTTGTTGTTGTTTTGTTTTGTTTTGGGAGAGGGGTTGTTTGTTAGATTCACGCATTTGCTTTCAATTGCAACCGCCAGTATCGTCGACTGCCATTGCGCACCATCCGCCTGCACGCAGAAGGTGGGGAAAGGCGGATTATTTGAAATAAAAAGCGAACAAAAACAAAAGGAGTGGTTACGCACCGTTCCACATGCCGCCAAAAGGGAAGAAGACTGTTTCACGTGGCAAGAAAAAAAAGTTGGAGAAGATTTTAGATCCTGATGAAAGGTACCGTAATGCATTGGACAAAATGCATTATCTTTCCAAAGAATCTCGTGCGGAAATCACCAACAGTTGCCTTCGGCGTATACTCACATCGATCAAGGCCTTTACGTTGGCACAGCCGCCTCTGGAGATAGAGTCACTTATGTCACGCGAGGAGCAGGTGAATAAGGAGATTGCAACAGGTGTGCCGATGAAGGTGCTGCCAGATATTGTGCGCTCACTTGGGCTCATTCCCACAGACAAGCAATTGCGTCAGATTGGGTGGATGGTCTTGAATCATGAAGAACTGCAAAAGCAGCAGCGGCCCCAACCAAAATGGGAAGGAGTTTTTGCGAAATTCCCGCAAGACAATGCGAAAGAGGTCGAGGATGAATACGACAATGATGTACAAGGAAAACTGACACTAGAAGATATGATGGAGAACCCTTTCTCTGAAACGGTGGAGTGGGCTGCGGTGGAGGGGAAGGAGTTGATAGCGGATCGTGAGAAACTGGAGGCTGTATTGCTAGATATAATGCACACGGGACTGCTTGTTTTTGACCCAGCGAACGTTCAGGGCGGGGAAAGCGCGTCAAAGTTTGAACGCGTTGTCACCGTTCTGGAGTACGTTAACCCGGAGGTTGTAGACAATATCTTTGATGTGCTTTGGTCAACCTCATATCGACAGAAAACTGGGGATGGTGTTCGCTTCATCTACAGCAGTGACCTGACACGTGTGCTGGAGACAGTCGAAGAATCTGAAAAAAGCGGTGAGCCACCTTTTGAATCGGATGAACTGGAGGATTTACTCTTGTTTGTTGGCGACACGGGGCGTGGTACGATAAGCGAGGATGCCTTTGCGTTGATTGCTTTATGAATTTGGTAATGAAACGCACGACGATCAATACGGCAGAGATTTTTTTTTTTTTTTTGGGGGGGGGGGTGCTTTTGGGGCGTGTTTGATTTTACGCTTTTTCCACAACCACCACCATTCTTTCTTTGTGTGTATGTATGTATGTGAATTCATGTAAAATAAGTGCATTTTTGCGTATAAAACTTGTTAGCATTATTATTATTATTATTGTTATTTACGGTTATGGAGGCTTTCTTGTATCCATTTTGTTTTTTGGTTTGTTTTGTTTTGTTTTACTGCGGATTTTGTTTTGTTTTTCCATTCTGTTCTTCCACGCACTCGCCCTTGCCTTCTTTCTTTTGTTTTGTTGTTCCTTAATTGCGGTGCCATGAAGTAATTTCATAGGAGTGAAGGAGGGACACAAGACGAGGGTTGGGAACTATTAAGGCGTTGTACACATCCATATCCATCCAAAGAAGGAGAGAGAGAGAGAGAGAGGTGTGTGTGTGCGAGGAACGAGTGGCAATTTATTTGGTTTTTTGCATTCCGCCTCATTATTGCAGTGTTACGAGGGGTCCGACGATGGATCGGTTGGCGAGCCTCCTGAGCGGCATGGCGCCAGGACAAATAGAACAGGCCGTGCAGCTGCTGCAGCGTTACACGGCGGCTGCAGAAGCGAACCGGCAGACAGTGAAGGGGGAAGAGGCGCCGTTTTTGTCTTCGCCCAATAGTGACGCCAAGACCGACGATGCCGGTGGTGTTGGTAGAGAAGTGGGTCACCCATCGCCCGTGAAAGCCGAGCGCGATGGCTTGAACGCCCCGGCGGGCGGGTTGGATGCGGTAAGCTCCGTCATTGCCCTCGCGCTGGAGCAGACGATCCGTGGCGGTTCTGCGGTCGCCGCTGCGAGCGGGGATGGCAGCAATGACGATGATGATGATGATGACATTTCCCTCGTTGCTCTCGCGCAGAAGAGGCAACGCGAGGCGGGGAAGAAGAGCCCCACCGCGGCGCCGAAGAAGAAGAACAAGGCACAAAACGTCACTGCGGAAGGCAAGGAAAGCGGCAACATCACCGCATTGGAGGATCACGAGAGGAAAAGTCAAAAAACGGATGACAGTGGCACCCCCTCTCGCAAGGGCACATCGTCGGCCAAAGCGGCGGGCTCCCCGTCATCACAGCAGCAGCAACAAAAAACGGCCATCGCCGCGCGTGGCCTCGCTAGTTTTGGTTTTGTCAGCACCATCAAGAGGACGACAGTGACGGTGGGTGACAAGAAGAAGCTGTTTACTCCCTTCGTGCAGGACAGACGTTTGGTGCCCTCTGCGTTACGGTTTTGGTGCCATGACAAGGATGCGCCAGCATCGCAAAAAGAACCATCCGTGCCCTCTTGTGTGCCGCGTGAGGAGATGCCGATGGGTGGACAACAGGTCATTGCCGTGGATGAAGAATCATCGCTAATGCACTTGCCTGTGACGAGTTGTGGTGACAACGAGAAGGCGCAGGATGCGCAGCGGCAGCGGCAGTTCGAGGGTGCAGCCCGACGTTATGTGTCTTTTACGGCGATGATAGATGACACCACAAATTTTATCGATAAAGGAACCCAACAAGAACCGCCCTTGCAATGCCCTTGTGCTTATCATGTGAGTATTGCTGCCCCGCGCGCCGGCTTCAGAGACGAGGTGATCTTTTGTGGGTTTTACGCGATTGGCTATGATCCATGTCAGTCACGTCCACCGTACTTTGGTACATACAACAGCCAGGACTCTCTCAACATGGAGGAGTTGCTGCAGCTCGCACGGTTTGACACTGGGAAAGAGATGCCGCAAATGTCAAATCTTGACTACGAGTATGACTCTGGTGACGACTGGGACGTTGTGGAAAATGATGAGGATCTGGGTGCGTCAAGCAGCGACACCGAGGATGAGGAGGACAGTGATTATTCCTCGGCCAGCGACACCGATAACGACTTTATCAACGATAACGACGACGAGGATGACGATTCGGACGCGGAGCTACAGCGGAAGATGGTGGAGGAACGCCAACGGCGGTTAAATCGGCTGCGTCACAAGGACAAGCTGGTGCCGGTCTTCAGTGGACCATTTGTGGGCATCCCCAGACTTGAGCACCCGCTCCGTGAGTGTGATAGAATGGAGCGACTGGCCTGCACGCTTGATGGCGCCTCATTCACGGCAATGATGGAACAAGAGATGCGGGGACTGGGCTCCGCCGCGGCATTGATCTCCCTTTCCGACGCCAACAGGAGCGGGTATGGAGGCGGTGGCACGGTACAAACAGAAAATGCAACGGCGGAGTCGTTGGACGAGAGGGTGCTACAGCAGCGGCTGGTTGCGGCGGCACTCCGTAACCGTCGTGATATGCTTCCCGATGAAATTGATGCCATGCACGCCATCATTGCAGCCAACGGGAAAATATTTCCCAAGGCCATTGTTGAGGCGTTGCAGGGGCAGCAGTTGTGCGCGGGAGTTGCGCGGGCGGAGATTCTTCGCACCATTCGACGACATTATGAACTAAAACACAAAATGATGGTGCGGCGCCCTGAGCCATGGTCCCCGACGGACGAGCGGCTCTTCAAAAAGCGACTGCGGCAGATGGCAGGTGGAAGCAATGTGAATAGAAAAGGCAGCACGAATAACCTCACCCAAAGCGCGAGCAACAAGGATGATAATAATAATATTAATAATAATAATAGTAATAACTTCGATCAGGAGCGAGGCCGCGATGAGGAGGAAGAGGCGGATGATTACGAGGATGACGAAGACGTGCCTCTGTTGGAAATTGCAATTAAGCGGCCACGTGCGGCGTGTGAAGCGATTGAGGGTAAAAATGAATGAAACCGCCTGGGTTTGCGTCTTGTCTCTGTGTTTGGCTGGCTCTCATTAATGTGCCGATTTCCATACGGACGCACGCATTCAGTTTCTCTAAAGTGAAGTGAATGAGTGGGAATTAAAAGAACAATGAGATTCTGCTTCCTTGTTTATTATTGTGTAGTTCCATTACATTTACACACAAATGCATACGGCTTCATTTAATTGGGGGAGGTGCTTAATTCGTATTTCCACACATCTTTTCTTTGCCCACTTATCAGGGAGGAATATATGTGTATCCATCACGCTTGGACGCATGAGCATTTTTTATTCTTGCACGATGGAATGGACCTGTTTTTTTCTTTTCCACCCACCCCTTTTATATATTTCCCTTCTTTTGGGTTTTTTTTTTCTTGTTTGTGTGGCCTTGGCGCCCACTCTTCTTTTTTTTATTTTTGCTTGTCGTCTCTCATCATTTAAACAAAAAAAAAAAAAAAAATTGTGCGGGGTTTTGTTTTGTTTTGATTTTTTGTTCCCTTTATACAAAGATTCAAGCGCAAACGGAAAAATAGTATGGGTGCAGTGCATTCACAGGCTCAGGAGAAACAGGGCATGGAGGAGAAGTATAACAATAACGGCACGGCACCCGAAGGGCACACAATACGCTGTGAGGGGTGGACGATAGAGAAGCCCATTCGCTCGTGGTCGGCATCGGCAATGGTATACGTGGATAATGTGATGGTGCCGCCGCCAGGCCCGGGACAGGTGCGTGTGAAGATATACGCTGCCTCTGTAAACCCCGTCGATGTAAAGCGTCCCAGGTTTGGTCGCAACAATGGCTTCTTCTCCTGGTGTAATGAAAATTTTGGAAAGGTTGGTAAAAACAGCAACAGCAACATTGGTGCCGGTGTTAGTGAGATTGTCTCTACATTCACGCGACATGAGCCACCCGAGTTTCCTTTCCCCTATGTGATGGGCACAGAAGGTGCTGGTGTCGTCGAGAGTGTTGGCTGGGACAATGATGACATGGAGCAACGCGAGCGGTACGGTCTACAGGTGGGTGATCGCGTCGCCTTCCTTGCGGACATTACAATGGCAAACGGTGGGACATTCTGCCAATATGCATTGGCGATGGCCGATGCGGTTGGAAAGATCCCATCGCCTACAACTGATGATGTGATTGGCTTTTTGGAGGCCGCTGTGATGCCGTGTGCTGTGGGGACGGCGTATGTCGCACTGTTTGACAAGCTGCGTGTCTCGTCTGGGCGTAGTATATTCATTAGCGGTGCGTCAGGTGGAATTGGCTCTGCGGCGGTGCAACTGGCCAAGTACGCTGGAATGTACGTGTTAGCGTCCTGCTCTACCGTTAACGTCGCCTATGTGAAGTCGCTGGGAGCAGACTATGTCTTTGATTATACTGCCTCAGATGTCGTAGGTGAGTGCCTTGCCCACACGAGGGGATTTGGCGTTGACTACGTGCTGGAGGTTGCCGATGCCGCGCTGGCGGTGCATCACGCAGACGCCCTGCGGTTTGGTGGCTCTATCTGCGTTCTTCCTGAGCATATGCCAATATCCAGTGAGGTGTTCTTCCGCCGGCAGCTGTCGATAGGTTACGTCTGTCTTACTGGGCTGCACGCCGACCCCCTCACACGCGGCAACCTCCGACACGTGGTGGAAACGTGCATGAAACTCTACCAGCTAGGTGCCTTTAAACTGCAGCTGGAGACTGTGCCCGTGGAGCGTGCCGACACCGCATTGGACATCATTTCCGCGGGACACACGCGTGGGAAAATTGTGCTGACAATTTTCCACCCCGACGACATGCCACATGGCGATGATATGATGGGCACCCGCCGCCGGAAACACGCAAAGGTGCAGTCAGGGCAGGCGGCACCGGCGGTGTCAATTCAGACCGCCGCTCCCCCGCCAGCGCAGTGAGTTTTTAGCCACGTATATTTCCCCGGAGTGTGTTGGTGTCGTTTGTAGTTTTTATTTCTATTCATATCATCATTTTTACTCCGTCCATTTCTCTCTCTACCTCCTCTGCTCTCGTTGCTGAAAAAGAGAATGTAAAAAAACGTGTGGATAGAGATTATTGCAATGGTAGATGTTAGCAAATGGAGGGTCGTGCAAACACAAGAAAAAAGCAGGTGATTTTCCCTTTTTTTGGCGTATTCCAGAATTTCTTTGGCCTCCTAACAATTAATTTGCATGGCGGGGTTATTTGACCCAACGTCATGCTCTCTACCACCCTTCCCTCCGCATACACACACACACACACAAGCCGATTTATGAATGCATGTGACCCGTTGCTCTCTTTCCCCTTTTCTCTTGCATTTCTCAGGAATGTGTTCTTTGCTGGCGGCAGGGGCTGCAACAATCCGCCTTGTCTCGAGGCGGCAGCGGACAATACACGGAGATGCCGTGCCGATCTTTACCTCCACACGGCGGTACGTGAATGCACTTTACCGGGCTCCTCCCGTACAGACGGTCCCAACGCACAATTCAAGTGGAGAAGAGGTTGACACAGAGTTGTTTATTCGCCAGTTCAAGGAACTTTTTTATGCGCTGAAGCAGACTCAGCTTGTGGAACAAATTCATGAGATGCGAACCTGTCCGTATTATGAATGCCTCTTCACTGCAGATCTTATTTTTCAACACTACGATATTGTTTTGCCGATGCCCAAGTACGGCAGGGAGCACCGCAGTTCAGAAATCAGCGAGACGCTTCGGTATTTACGAGCCTGTGGAGCCTCGGGTGATTTTAACCACATTCTGCAGGACGTGAAGGGTGGGGCTGCGAGTGGTGGAGACTTTGTGTCAACATCTCATGGCATTCTCATGGCATATGGCACTGCACGGACAAACAAACTTTCAATGATGGCTCTCACAGGGAGTGGTACTGCAGATGAGGCGGCCGCTCTGCAGCAACGTGCACTAAACGTGGTGCCCATTGAAGTTTCACCGGATGCTCCACCACTTGCAGATTTATTGGCTTTTGCTGGCAAACGTACACTTATCGTACAGGACACGGTTCATGGCCGTCATGCGGCGGAGGCGGCCGCAAGTAGCATTCCAAAAATCCCGTGGCAGATATTACGTGTGGAGCCTGGATGTAGTTTCCTTTCCCATCTCTGTGGTGTGAACGCGGTGTATGATGTGCTGGTGGATCAGGACTACCCGCATTCTATGGAGCGCATAGGCGAGGCCGGCTTGAACCCGTTTCCGGTGGAGTGGACAGAACCTCGAAAACTCGGAATTACCATGCGCAGTGTGTGCCTTATCGCCCGCTTTGCTCGCGGGACCATGAGTGCTGGCGGTTATGCGGACAGCGATGGTCACCGTGCGGCGTCGTTCACTTATCACTCCCGCGGTATAGCGAAGAACACCCGTCTCTTCCAAAACGGTCACCGCCGCCATGGCGATAACGGGGCGCCACTGGAGGCGCAGCTGCGATCAGGTGAATTGCCCGAACCCGTCTACCAGCGTCCGCCGCGATACGCGCCGCCCATGCATCGCCCCGGCGGTCTTATGACATCCGATGCGGAAGGAATGGAATGAACACCACTTCGCGAGAGGGAAATGAAGTGGCATTCATTGTTTTGTTTTGTTTTATTTTTTTTCCTGTGGGTGAAGAAAAATGGCGCGAAGCGTGGAGCATGGTGAACGGTGGATTTCTGTGCGCTTTTTTTTCTTTTTTCTTCATCCCTCAGCAGAGCGCATTCATGCAATGGACTCACAACTGAATATTCCACAGTGTTGTTCTGGCTCTTTCTCTCTTATTTATCACCGTCAAAAGTTTGGTGATGCGGATTATCCCTTCCCGTTAAAGCGAATGGCGACACACACCGTGCAGACGCATCCTTCGAAGTTCTCGACGCCGCTGGCGTTCTTTGTTGTTGTTTTTTGCGTTAATCGTCCCTCATTGCATTCAAATAACTGCAAAAGGCAAATCGGGGATTTCTCTGCCGCCCTTCACAACGCCGCACATCATCATCATCATCATGCCAGCAAATGGAGATGTTGATCGCACACTCCCCGTCAGACTGAACATCACCCTCAATGAAACCTTCTTTGCTGGTGAATTTATCAATCCATTTCATGGAGTGTCGCCTCGACTCGCTCCCAATTTGCCCTTTAACCCGCGAGTATGGCGTCATTTCGGGGAAAATGTTACAGATACCGCGTAAGTCTTTCTGTTGCAGCCCTGCTGAAACGCACGGAGGAAAACAAGTGCAGTCTCCAGTTCACTGCGGCTTCCTCCGTGTGGGTTTGGCCGATGAAGGAGGTGATGCGAGAAGTGGAGAAAGCGAGCCATAATTAAATCATGCCTGCAGCCACGTCAACAGACGCACTGAAACACCGCGCCAAGGACGGCTGCACTCGCGGTAACTATCATTTATCCTTCTTGGCGGAGCCATATTGATACCATTCTCATCCTTCTGCGTGATCCGCTGAGGGAATGGCCTCCGTTGCCCGTCCCATGGAACATTTTTCATCGAATAACAGATTTATAAGGGAATTTGCGCCAGAATGCGTGACCGAGCTCAGCAACGGTTGATGATGCGGGAGAAACCCCAGGCACAGTGTTCACAGGCGCCCTTCCAACAAAATCATAGTGCTGGTGGGGTGATTTTTCTTTCCGACCGACAGGAGAATCCGTGCGCCATAACGGGACGTTTGAGTGAGCTCCGCCGCCATGAATAGTCCACGCAGCATTGAGCGGAAAGCACACAGTTCATGGCATAAAATCATTTTTATTCCTTTTTGTTTTGTTTTGTTTTTTTTATGTTTTTTTGGCTGCCTTTATTTGCAGATTGGTCTCTTTTCTTCAATCTCGCCATAACCCCGTCGGGGTTTTTTTCTCTGGGGGGCGGCAAGACAAACTTTTTTAGTTCGGGACATTCGGGCTTTCTTATCGTGTTGTTGTTTTTGTTGTTTTGTGAATGACCGAATTGTTTCTCCTTTTTTTGTTGCTCTTTTTTTTCTTTTTTTTTTTTTTTTTGGCTCCGCTGCTGGGGCGGTGG